TTTTTTTTTTTCTTCCTTGCTAGTTTTAAAACAGTACATTTTCTTGAAGGTTGCTTTCGTGCATTTTGACTACTCACCCGGAGAATCAAGACCTCGTCTCCCTTATTTTTGCATAATCACAAGCAATTCAAGGTGTTATGGATTTTTTTCGGGGTAAATCCATGGCGAAGGGTTCCCCTACCCATGGTGAATGAAACTTAAGACATTTAAGTTGTGGTATCCACTATTCTAACCATCAATGCCTTGAGTTTATTCCTACGTCAAAAATTATTATAAAGATGATTGAACATTGGAAATCAAGTATATCACCTTATACATGCATGAAATATTCAATTGTACACAAAATTTCGTTATTGTGAATAAGATCACTATCATTATATCTTTTCAGCCTGTTATCACGTCCATTTACATAGTTTTACATTGTTCTATCAGCAGGTCGGGACTTATGAGAAATAAGTACGAGGTGTACCACTTTTGATTGACCATTTTTCACATGAATTGTATACTAGGAGACCATTTACTTTTGATATAAGAAAATCACAATTTTTTTAGTAATTGGCTGCAAAATTTAATATATTGAAGTATGTCACAACATTCGAGAAATTTGATTGTGGACTTTGTGTTCAATCAATGTCACATCCCTGACAAGCCAATTTCAAATTCAATGGTTAATAAATGAATATGACCTTCATATATAAAAAAGGGAAAAGTTTATAACCTTAAAATGTAAAATCACATATGCACTTCAAAACTCTATCGGAAAGGCTGTTTTAATGTTGAAAAACCCTCTAATTGATCATCTCGCCATTAAGATGAATGAATATTAAATTAAAAAGGTTTTGAGTCCCAAAAATAGTGCATCTTGCAACACATTATCTAGACCGTCCATTTTCAAGATTTTCATATGTCTATAGATCTACTTGACTTTAACCATTTTTGGAGTTTAAAATTTTTTAATTAGATATGAAAATAGTTTTTAAGACAATCCTAAAAACTTTTTACAACAAAATTACATGTTATGATAAAATTTGAAAGCGCCCCTTAATTGGATTGTTTAAAGTTGCAACCTTATAAAAACCGCACCTTATAAAAAATGAATGGTCTCATTGTAAATATTTCTTTATTGGACAAGGTTTCTACGAGTCTTTGGGCTCATGTGTAGAAATTCAAGCCCCGTGATAATCTATTTTTGAAATAGATTTTAGCCTTAATTTTAAGGAATATATAATTCCTCGCATGGACATCATTAATGTGTAAAAATAAAAATAAATTTTAAAAATTAAAAATGACATTTTAATAAAATATTTAAACTATTTATTTTAGTTTTTCTTTGGAGGGACCATCGTTTACATCCCATCTTTGGATGATGGTTTATATCTCGGGGGATGCAAATGTAAGAAATTGTTCCCGAATCCATGTAGCACTTTTCCTTCCTTATTTAGAGATATGAAGAAAGGAAAAAGTTTATATAAGGTTCACACCTTAATATGTAGAATTAAGGCACCTCTAAAATCCTTTGGTAAAGATTGTTTTGATATTGAAAAAATATTGAATTGATCATCTCGATTTTGAGATGTATAGATATAGAGAGAAAAAAGAGATTTCAAGTCTTAAAAGAGTCATTTTACAATAAATTATTTGGAATCTATTTCAATATTTTGATGTGTTTATAGATCTGTTTGATTTGAACCATTTTTGGAGTTTTAAAATTTTATAATCAGAGATAAAAATAGATTCTCCGGCCATCCTAAGAATTTTAGACACCAACATTGCAACTTTAAATAAAATTTGGTGGTGCACCTTATTTGGATTGTTTAAGGTTGCAACCTTATGCAAACCATAAGGAAATGACCATTATACTACGGAAATTGATGTTGGGTAGTTATGTTTCAATAACAGTTTCCCTATTAAATTTCAACATATATTTTGGAGATAATAACAAGAGTTTATATTAAAAAACAAAAGAACATAAAAAACAACACAAGGAAAAAGACAAAAATGTATTAAGTCGAAATAAATAATTTGATTTCATACGATTGGAAGCATAAATAAAAATAAAAATATAAACTAAAAAAAAAAAATTGAAAGAAAAAGGTGGAAAAAATGGTTTAAAAAAAATTATAGATTCTATATTTTGTTTTTTGATCCAAGAAAATTTGTTAGGGATTTCGTAGAGCAATGTAATGGGAACATTTTGGGACATATTTAAATGAATTTGGCAAAAAAAAAAGGCAGAGAAATCAAAGATTTTTTATTTGGGGTTCAAAAAACCCCCCAAAATTTGAAAAGCCAATTCTCTTATTTTGATTTTTGATACTGCAAGTTGGTATAGGGGTTTGATAGAGAGCTTATCCGCAAATACTTGGAAACAAATTTCAAGTTTTTTGTCAAGAATTAAGTGAGAAATTGGAAGAAAGGAGCATTGGAATTTTGGGATGAAGAATTAAGAGATTTGGATGAGAAAACCTCATTAAAATATCATTTCGATTCAAATAATCTAGAATTGGATAAAAACGATCAAATATTATTTTGATCCAAATAATCTAGTTTTGGACAAAAACGATTGATATTGGGGGTTAAATAGCAGTGGCAGTCATTGATTTTAAATGAAAATACAAATGTAGACCTAAAAATCAAATTTTGGCTGTTAAATTACATAGTTTTCTGGTTTTCTTTGAAGTCCGGGTGAGACTCGTCCCAGAACCTTGCCGGTCCCTAGTTGACTCGGTGGGTTCCCAGTCGACTTGCTAGTTTTGAAATAATTGGTTTATAGAATAGGAAAAATTATAGATATCCGCTGATTTGTACTTTCTAGACGTACGCCTTTTGATTCGGCCCCAACACTTTGATACCATACTATTAACTTCAATATTTTTTTTTATTTTTTCAGACCTCCCGAAATAAAAAAAGGTAACCTTTTTGGGATCAAAATAATCTTTTTTATTTTTTTTGGCCACATTTCCAGCTTTCTCTCACTAAGCCAGTCTGGCACAACATTTACGAAGATGGTCCGGCATTTTTTGTGTCACACCGGCTTGATATTCAACTTGTGCCGGTCCGACACATTTTTGTACCAAACCGACACATATTGGACATCATGTTTTGAAAACATAAGTTAAAATGGCGAGTATTTTGATTAAAAATATTAATTCTTTTTATTTGGGGGTGGTTACATAGAAAAATATTATTGAGGATAAAAGTGTGGTATAAAAAATATTTAGAGAGAATATCTTGAAAATACAAATTAGAGACCTCTATAATTTTCCGTATGGAATATCTAACGAAGTACGTAAATTCTTTATGACGTTTGCAAATTCTTCTTTCGCTGTAGCCTCGCATTCCGGTGCTCGTTCTGCTTCATTATTACATGAAAGGTGATTTGATTGAACTTGAGAACAAGTGGTTTTACCGTTCAAATAAATAAATAAATGAAAGTAATCGTACTCACAATGATTTACGCCAACAGGGTAAGCGGGATAGGAAAAGAACCACCTCACACCGTAATCACTGCTTCATCGTTTTCACCACTAACTCCATTTCATTAATACTTTTTAAAAGCTAACTCTCGAAAAAATAAGATTGGGCCTCTCTTTCCCATTAAATTATCTTAAAAAAAACAGAAAAGTATAAGCGGGATTGATGTCCTATTTTACTTTATATTTCCTCTCAGATTATCTCTCAATGAAGTGACTAATAAATTCTAGATGTAACAATTATTGGATGTACTCAAACTTTTTAATTAGAAAAAATTAGGGTACTCATACATATGGTTATTTTCATATGGTACTCAATATTTTGGACACTTGATACTTTTTTTTTACCGTGTAGTAACTTTTTCATCTAAAACTACATTAGGTAATTAAGCATGGGTAAAGTGAAAATTCTTTTTGAAAGAGAATCATTTATTAACTATAGTTAATGAGTGCTTAGTTTTGATTTAGGTATTGGATTGTAATCATTTGTGTAGCCCGCCACTTGGTTCGGATCTTATTTATAAAAGGAAAAATTTCATAAGCGGGCATATGAAGTTCAGCCACTTAGTTGAACGGTGGTGATTGAAAGCTTATCTTTTAACCTTTACCGTCCAAATAAGTTCAACAGCAGCTGGCCCGTGCCCGCACAGTAACCATACACAGTAACCATATCTTTTACATAAAGTAAATTTTCTTTATTATTTTTAAATTTTTTTGCCTAAATTAGCCAAAATGAAAGACGGAAAATAATAAGGCACTCAAAATGGGAACCAAATGGCATATCATTGTCGATATGTACATGCATGCCAATGTACTAACAAAATGGTCATAACATGCTTTGAAGGTTGTTGGATCATATGATTATACAACTATATATATATATAATTCAGCTCTTCATCTTCACTTTTTTTTTGGTTTAGTCTCATTTGGACAGATAAATCTTACTTTAGTGGGAGTTATCTCACCAAATTCTTTGGATGGGTTGAGAATCCGCTTTCATCTCTAATTACAACATTTTAGACTTCAAAAATGGCTCAAATCAAGTAGATCTATAGAAAAGTGAAAATCTTGAAAATGGATGGTACAGATAGCATGTTGCAAGATACACTATTTTTTAGACGCTAAATATATTTTTTTATTATTCATGCATCTTGATATTGAGATAATCATCGGAGGGTTTTCCAACTTCATGTAATTTACAATGGATTTTTTATGTGCACCTTAGTTCCAGATTATAAGGTTGCATCCTTATATAAACCTTTTTCCTTGAATGAAATGCCTTAGGATAATCTCCTCATTGCCCTTCCTAATTATAAATCTCTTCCATTTTCTAAAACATGAGTGATGAATCTCTTTCTAAAGATTCTACAAAACCAACATACAAGATCGAATTCTAGAACAGGGAGAGAAAGCATACTAGAAATCATCTTTCACATAATATCATGATCTTTTTTCTTTTTCTTTGAGTGTTATTCACATATCATGTAGTATTAAATCCACGTAAAATGGCCTACTCCCAAAAGTAACTCTTCTAATGTTTCTCCCCACATATTAGCCAAACGAGACCGAAGAGGAGAGTGTGAAATTAACAATTGAAAAAACAATTGCAAACCAAAATTGGAAGGAATTATACACTTGTTATTATTATTACTTACTATGGTATCAAACCACACCCCCCACGATTAAAGGAATCATATACTTATTATTAATATGATACCAAAATTCCCCCCTCTACTACCAGGGCACATGTTTGGACACCAAAATTAGGAGGGAATGAGATATATGGGTGTCACAAACCCCTCTTTGTGCTCTTATTATCCGCTAAGCTTTTTTCTTTTTCTTTCTTCTTCTTGGGTAAAATTATCCGCTGAAACTTTTAGAGCCCAGGCCCGGCTCCTTTGTCCTGCACATCTTCCCACCTGAGACGCCCATTCTCATCAGGGACCAGTTGCTTCTGCAGAGGCACAAACCACATAAATGAAATTAAGAATCCATAAGTGTAACGTCTTAATTAGTGGACAATCTGTTTTGCTTTATAGTAATAAAATTTCTCATAAGTCCAAAAGAATATTAAGTTTTTTGGGACAATATGGAAAAATAATAGAGCAGTTCGAATTGTAGGAAAGTCAGTTTAGAAACTCAAAATTTAATCTGTCTATAGAAAATATCCATGTGTTATTGCGGAAAGCCTCTATTGGGGGTCTATTATTCTCAATACACAGTGTTATCCTGCACAAGTTGACCGAATGGGATACCACTTGTCAAAAATAGAGTGATTTACATACGTATCCTAAAATTTTTGGTAAAATAAGAAATAAATCACTTATAAGCAGAATTAAAAAAAAAAAAAGGTCAGTCAATTCATTTTTTTTTTTTCAACATTGCTCCCCAATGAACCCTATTTTTTATTTTTTTAGTTTTTTTTAAAAAAAACCTTTGGGCACTGTCTTACTAAAGAAAAAATAAAAAAAGACAATTTTGAAAAAAAAAATAGATTAACCGGCCTTATTTATAATTTCCACTTGTCCCATAATATCAATACTCTTCCACTGATAATCATATCATTGTATTTTACTTAAGGTCCCTACCTAAATCACTTTCAAAATTATGATTTCTGCTTTCTGCCCCTAATGAAAGCAAAAATCATGTATCTGACTCTAGTTGCAGTAGGGTATTGGCCGAGATGGGGCATGAGAGAAGAAAAAAAGGTCTATAAGAGAGAGAGAGAGAGAGGCGTAAGGAGTAGAAAAAAACAGGGCAACGGAGAAGAAGTGGGTGGGGAGGAGAGAGTCAAGGGCCAGCACTATGAAGTATGAACAATTTCTAAAGAGTGTCTAACGAGAGAGAGAGAGTCAAGAGCGGCCAACACTACGAACAATTTCTAAACAGGGTCTAAGAAGAGAGAGAGTCAAGGGCCAATACTATGAACATTTTTCATCTGAACCTCACGAGAAAGAAAGGGAGAGAGATAGAGAGAGGTTACATTGGCAAAATCAGTGTGGACGAGAGAGAGAGATAGAGGCTATAAGCTAAATCGAAAGATGAGGTGGGGGAAGAGAGAAGCACGGAGCAAATATGAAGGATACAGAGGCTAAATTCACATGCACACTGCGAGAGAGAGAACCCAAGTCCTACTCCGATCCGAATCATGGTAAAAGCTGGAAAAGCGTAAATATTTTTTTCTGTTCTTCTATCTCACCGTGAAGTAAGAGAACTCCTTGGTAGCCTGGCAAGCCGAGATTAACTCCTTGGGCTCTCTGTACCATGGCGTGAAAAGCGACCACCCCTCGTACTCCAAGAATGACACAAACCTCTTCTCGAACCCCTCCTGCCCCATCATCCCCTGTGTTGCAATCCTAGGCGTACCCCCTGGAATCGAACCGGCCTCCTCCACATCGAGCTGCAACCGATGTGCCGAGTCCCATGCTGCCCTCTTCCCCTCCCCTCTATGGACTGCTACATCGGCATATGACTGGACATTCGAGAGCTCATAACCCATAGGCGTCTTGCTCACTGCCCTCCCTGCAACATCGGCATATGACAGGACCTTCATTCGCTCGTACCCAACCGGCCGCTTGATCACGTCTCGCCGACCAGCAACATCGGCGTATGAGCGGTCAAGTGCTGCAGCAGAGAGGGCTCTCCCCATAAGGTGTGCAGGCCCTGCATCGAGGGAGGGCCATGAGGATTCATCAGTATGCATTAGCTGCTGGTCCTGCCTATCCTGCCTCTGCCCCTTACCCAAGGGGTAGAGCACCATGTGTGTGGCCAGGCCCCTGCCTATCGGCACAATCTTCATTCCACAAATACCAGGCATGGACCTCATGAAGTCGCTAAGCTTCAGATACCCAAGCGACTCGTGGTTGAGCTCGAGCCTACAGGCAGCTCTGAAGTCCCCCTTAAGAGAAGAAAGTGGGTACCACTCACCCCCATTCCGCTTTGCCATCTGCTCTAAGAACTCAGGAAACCATTTTTTGAACTTGCGCAGCCATGGAACCTCAAAGTGGTCATGGTTGGCAATAGGGGTGGCCTCATCGAGGGATGGCAGCGGCCAGGGCTCAGAGGAGGCGATCGCCACTGGATTGGGCTTGGAAATTGCGCTCTTTATCTCGACCTTCTTGCCCCAGATGGTCACAAATTGGGCTTCGACTGCAGCCGCGACCGAGTCCTCACGCTCGAACGTTACGAACCCAAAGCCCCGAGACTGGACGAGGGCTCCGGCCCGCCTATTGATGACAGTGGCGTCCTCCACTGGGCCGAAGTTGGCCTCGAAGAAGTCTCTCAGGTGGTCTGGAGAGAACACAGACCAAAATGCGGTGAAATTTCTGCGGTTTTTTAAGTCAACTTTTCTCAAAAAAAAAAAAAAAAGATTTCTGAGGGTTTTTTTTATTTTGGGAAATGTTGGTGAGAGAAATTAAGGTGAAGTTTCTCATTATTGAGTTTTTGGAGTTTCGTGTTTGTTTGTTTACCTGAATCAATGGATGGATGGAGGCCCCCTATGAAGATCTTGCGGCTGAGATTGTCCACAGCGCGCTGCACGATCGGAAGTAAAAGGGATCATAAAAATGCTTGGGCAGGTGGGGAATTCCCATTTTTGGGCATGTATTAATGATATTAACTACGACCAATTTCTATAAAAACCATTGAGACATCTTTTTCCATCCATTGATGAGTTTCGCAGAAAGTGCTGATCGTTTTACGTCCGTTGGCAAGGTTTTGCATGGATAACGTCATGGATATAAGATTAAATGGGCAAGCAAACTAGAAAACTTTAGTCCAATATTATGGAAATATAAGCAACAAACATAAGGAAAATTTGTAACTTTGTAATAATGCTAATCTGTATTATTCTTTAAGTTTTTAGGCTCTTGTTTTCATTCAGAAAACGTAAATAAGATTTTTATACTTTTTTTTTATGTATTAAACTGATCTCTATAATCTTTCCCTCTTAGAAATTGATTTCATTTTCCAAATACGCCCTAACAATTTTGAAAACAGCCCCTTTTCTCTATGAAAACATTTATTAATATTTATACAAGCGGTGTCAACTTTATAAAATTTAATTAAGCCCACCTCAAAAACATGTCAAAAAAGGTTTTTCATAATTTTTAACTGTTTATTTATCTACTTGATCTATATCATTTTTGGGGCTTTGAAATTTCATAATTAACGGTGAGAATATATTTTTATGCTATCATGAGTACTTTCCAACACTGAAATTTATTTTTTTTGCATGATTTTGAGGTGCGGCCTTGCATCATTAGTATCAAGTTGGGGCCTTTTACAAGCCTCACCTTTTCTTTATTATCTAAGCGTCCATTTACCTTGCTAAAGCAGTATTCGCCAGTCCAAGGAACACCCTTGGCTCGTCTAAGCCCATCGGCACCGTGCGCGTAGAAGCACCTATCCCCTCTCACGCACCCACCCGGCGCTTCGAAGTACCTACAAATCTCGGTTTTCATAATAGGGGAAGACCTGTATTTACTCCCCAAGATAGAGAAGCCCACATCATGTCAGAAAACCGCTAGTTACCCGAACCCAAATCGTTAGAATAACACTACGACAATGTGAAAAATTACGGATAGCAAATCCCCCACTTTTCAGGTTCTGAACCGATTTTAAAATTTTAGGTAAAATATAAAAATACCGTGGAAATTTAAAAAAAAAAAAAAAGTAAGTCAACTTATTTTTTTTAAAAAAAAATTACCTTTCAGTCAACTTGAATTTGGATTTATTTTTTTTCAATTTTATTTTTATTTTTTATTTTTGTTATTTAGAGAATGCCTTAAAGCATAGGGCACTATCCTAACGAAAAAAACTAAAAAGAAAAACTTTAAAAGAAAATAAAATTTAGGTTGATCGAAAGGTAAATTTGAAAAAAACATTAAAAAAAAAATTGGGTTGACCGATTTTTTTTACAATTTCCACGTATAAGACGATCACTTTGTATTTTACATAAAATTTTTAGGTCCATACATAAATTCACTCTAATTCGAACATGCATCCTTAAGTCTTAACTAGTCATACCTTTTGCTATTTTCGCACTCATCTTCCAAGCTGGTGAGCATTTCATCCGCTTCAGGGCTGCAACTCTCGTTCCCAAGCCCAGGCATGGCATCGACAATGTGCGTTGCGTTTGGGTTCCCTGCACACAAGGGTGAGGCTATTACAATACAATCACGTTGTTATTTCATTTCAGTGGAAGTATACACTATACACCGGTGGTGCATAGTGTACTTCTAGTTTTCCTTGAAACGTATATATTTTAAGGACGGGTTAGAGTACAGCTATAAAAGCTCATCTGGCTGAGCATGTAGCGCATGTCCTCAGAAGTGGCCAAATCTATTGGCCTCTGTTTCCTGCAAAGAAGTAATTGGGTTTGCTTTGGCTGAGATAATTGCCCCGAAGAAAATGGCGGTTTGGTGAGTTAGAGGACGTGTACCGTAGGTTGAAGGCTTGGCGATTGGCACCATAGCGCAGAAGGAGCTGAGCACAGTCCATGTAGTCGTTCTTAACGGCGTAAAAAAGCGGTGTCTCTCTCGTTTCTGAGGCGAGATCGACACCATCAGGATCCCTACTCAAGAGAAGCTGGAAAAGCCCGTAAAAAAATAAGTCATTAGAAATTTCAACTAGCTTTAAAGATAATCAGCTTTTAAATATAGGGACCTTTATCAAAATACATCTCATTTATTAACTACTTAATATTTAACACTCTCCTACTATTCCAAACTGAAAACTATATGCGCCTTGGTTATGAATGAAAACTGTTTCCACTTTCCAGCAATGCAACTTAGTACATTGGCAATCAACTTAGAGAGAAAAAAAGCTTCAAGATACATAGGTGGACATTTCGGGTATTGGCTCGCATGTACATTCAAGAGATTAACTATTTAATGTTTAATTTTGACGTAATAATCAAAATATACATGCCTATATAGTTGGAATAGTTGAAAAGGTTTAAATTACTAAATTAAAGAGTGATTTACATACAAACCTTAATTTTTTTTTAAACACTCTATAGGCAAAAATTACAAAGAAAGTCGGTCAACTTGTTTTTTTTTTTTTTTTTTCAAAATTGGCCTTGCTTTGAGGATGGAATCCTTAGTCTGATTTTTTTTTTTTTCATTAGTTGGGTAGTGACCCAAGCTTTAGGGTAGTGCCTACTAATGGAAAAACTAAAAATAGTAAATTAAAATTTGGTTTGAGGATGCCTTTTGACCGAGGGGTAACTTTTTAAAAAAATAAAAGAGCCTAGGTTGACTGAGCTGCTTTGTAACTTCTAACTATAAATTGAACATTTCATATTTTAGAAAACATTTTAGAGTCCGTATGTAAATTACTCTAAATTGAATAAAAAAATTAGCACAATATCTGTGAGAGATGAATAATTTAACAACTTATCCTTGGGTTTATTTCAAATTTCCCATAAAAGAACACAATATCTATGAGAGATGAATAATTTATCAACTTATCCTCTGGTTTATTTCAAATTTCCCTTAAAAGAACACACGATTTCAAGTTGGAAAGTACTATTTGATAGACTTTCTTCAAAAAATAAAGTATATTTAGTTAGGTCTAAATTTCTTTAAAAAAATGCAAACGAAAGAATTTCTTGGTGGCTTTGTGAGCATACCTGCAAGGCATGAAAATGGCCATGGGCGGCTGCCACGTGGAGGGGAGTCAACCCCAAACGGTTCCTCACGCTTACTCGTGCACCGTCCTTCAGTAACAAGCCTAGGACACTGAGATCATCCAACGGTTGAGATTGTAGAATCCAACAGATACGAAAATATCAAGGCCGTTGATTCGTACCTAGTGTCATGTGAATTCCAGCTCGCACGAAGGCACCAATGGAGAGCCGAGTTTCCGTCAACGTCCGTCTCGTTGACGTCACATTTTGTTTGAAGGATAAGTTTCACTACCGTCGCATCACCAGCCTAAAAACACAATACAAGAATCCGGCAATTTTTTCGTGAGGGTATTGTTACTGTTTCTCTCTCAAGAAAGTACTATCACCCACGGGTTGTGTTTTACACACAGATTGAACCATATAGCTGTTGTGCAATATAGGCAACCGATGTACAGGTACTATGTAATAGAGGAAATGCTTCTTAGATTTCCTCTGTTTTAGGTTCAAAATGAGAAATGAGTGTGAAGTTTTTTCTGCCGAGTCGATCTCAAAAAAATAACTAATATATGATTTAAAAGTGTGTTTTTATATGTTTTTTGTCACAGTTTTGAAATTTTCCTTTATTACATGGTCTTCATTTTTTTTCTTCTTTTTTTATTTTACAGAAATATACAAGGAATAATAAAAATGATTTACTTTTATGTAGTTTTTCATCTTTGGCTTTATTTCTATTAGTTATTTTAGTTTATGTTATTTTAAATTACTTTTATTTTTTTTTAATTTTTTATTTTTATACGACCCAATGCTCCGCTGTAATCTTATATTGATCGCTCTCATTCTCATTGTTTTATTGATTAAGCAAGCAAAATATAAAAAAAAAAAAACATAGGAAAGTCTAGAGCAAACCTCTGAAGCACGGATAAGCGGAGCAACGCGTGTGAATCTGTGAAAATGAGCGTCAAACAAGTGAAGTAGCTCTATCTCTTTGACCAACACTTCCCTCTTCTCATCTCCACTAGCAGCAAACGAAACCGTCCGCTTTACAATAGACTCATATAGACTCGCTTCCCTTTCGTCTCCCGTTGCGATCTTTGCTGATACCAGAGACTCGCTTCCTACGAAAAGCAACGCGGCGAGGGCCACAATATTCCCATCCATGGCGTTCCTGTATGCGATCTCTTCGACGTTTTTAGTTCTCGAAACCAGCGGTTGTAGAGAACTCAGGTCCTAAGAATGAGCCATTCAAGAAATCAGGACTTTTGGCGAGCGGCCAGATAAGATCAGGTAAATGAGCGGTTTTCCTGAGAAACAAAGCTGAAATCTTGGGATACCTTGTTGCTTAGGAGGAATAAGAGCTGCTGCACGTCCTCGTCTACAGTCCAGTTGACATGCATCCTGGTTCAGCGGGGGCAGAGAGAGAGAGAGAGAAAACATGAGGATTTGAGGACTTGACCTTAGTAGAGAGACAGAGAGGGGATCGACGATTTGACATCAGTGAAGAGAGAAAGGGTATCGAAAATTAAGGATTTGACAACCATAGGGGCGAGAGAACAATCTTAAAAAAAAAGAAACAGAGAGAGAAAACGAGGATGGATGATTTGACATCACGTACACAGAGAGAGGAAGTCGATATAAGATGGACGATTTGACCTCAATAGAGAGAAGAGCGTATGGAAATCTTTTGACCAAACTTTAGAAGCGATAGACCACTGAAACCTTTGTACTTTTTGAGATCCGAGTGGATTCCGTAACTTCCATGTAACAAAGCTTGCACAGAAACAGAGCAAGCACCAGAGAGAGAGAGAGAGAGAGAGGGGGAAACGTACGGATCCCAGACTTCCATTTAAGCTTAAGAGAGATAAAAAACACAAGGATTTGAGGACTTGAGCTTTCTAGAGAGAGGAGAGAGAAGGAGGGAACACAAGGTGTAGAGAGAGAAAACACGAGAATCAACTGTCACGTAGAGAGAGAGTAAGTCACAAACATAAGGATGGACGATTTGAACTATAAGAGAGAGAGAGAGAGAGCATATTGAAAACATGGACCTCATTTTTCGAGCGATAGACCACTGAAAGACTGAAACCTTTGCTGCTTTGTAATTTTTGAGACTATGAAAGAAGTTCCGTAACTTCCAGAAAATGAACCTTGCACAGCAACGGAGCAAGCACTATAGAAAGAGGGAGGAAAAAACATACGGATCGCAAACTTTAAAATTAACACAGAGAAATAGATCAAAATCATAAGGATATGACGACTTGACCTTTGTAGAGAGAGAGAGAACACAAGGATGTGGAAACAGAGAGAGATAGAACACAAGGATGGACGATTTGACATCACGTGTAGAGAGAGAACAAACACAAGAATGGACGATTTAAACTCAGTATAGAGGGAGAGTGAGCGAGTCTGTGTGCGTGAGAGAGAGAGAGAGAGAGAGCATATCGAAAACTTTGATCTAACTTTACAAGCCATAGGGCACCGAAACCTTTGCCATTTTCGAGAATCTGAGGGAAGCTCCGTAAGCTTCCACAAAACGAATTTCCAAAGAACGAACCTTCTGCTATGCAGTGCGAGCTCCAGAGCTTTGAGGCCCTCTTTTGATCGCTGATCAGTAGAAGCGTGCTTGTGAAGTAAGAAGTTGACGCACCTTGAGGAATGCATTTGAGCCGCATAATGGAGAGGCGTTTTCCCTGTCTTGTCAAGTTTATTGATCTTGACGGGACTTCCAGTTTCGCCTTCGATTATGGCGCTCAAACACAATACAGAGTCAAGGCTGCAAGTAACAACTACGAGACTCCATGCATCGATCTTCTCTGCTCCTTCATTTCCTGTATCTGAGATTTTCCCGATTTCTTTCATTAAAGAAACGAGCCTGGTATTATCATCTTTCCATATCAATTGAATGATGCTATTCTCAAGATCATTATTGTTGTCATCTTGAGTATTCTCCTCCAAAACATCGAATTTGTCAATTAAACCTTCGTTTCTCTGATTCTTGAAGAAGACCGTATCAGATGTTGATGGAAGTTGGAGAAGCTCCATCTCTTGTCCCGATTCAAGATCCTGCAAATTTTATCAAAGAAAATCAAAAGCAAAGCATGAAAAGTAATACAGGAGGAAGATTGTTTCTGAAAATTTCGCTAAGATGGATGACTCGGGAACATATCAAAGCAAAAAGAGCCTAATTATAAAAATTCCGCAGTGAAAAAGCAAGATTTTTGCGGTTTAAGTTTTAAGAAACATCTGATGAAAGAAATAACTCGGTTTTTTCAATAGAACCGGAACAAGTCCACCGATCAGCTACGGCACCAAAGCAACAGAGGAAAATTAGGGCATGTCATTCCTATCAATGCCATTTTTCTTCAATAAAAGCTAGGGTTTGACGAAGATCTAGGGTTTCAGAGTGTTTTCGAGGAAGGAGCTGGTCTTAGGTTCTGAGCCTCTGGGAAATCAAATGGTCTGAATGGCGGTGGAGACCACCCTTTTATAGACGCAGAGAACTGAACGAGCATTGCTTACATCTTTGCAGCATCGAGTGAAAAGGCGGGAGGTTTTCAAATTTTGGTTTTCCATTATCAGTGCATACCAAATATAATATTTCCAAAATGATCCACCCATATTCTAAACGGTGCGGCCAGGTGGAAATTGGTCCCACTTTGCAATTTTCATGTAAGTTTTCAGCCACTGTGTTTTAGTAGCGTGTTTACTGTGCTCCCACAATTACTCCATTGGGCAATAAACATGTTTGGGAGGTTTATTTTCAACCTGAAATTTTGGGGGCCATGCTCAAGAATGACTAGGTGATTATTTTCAGAAAAATAAAATAAAAAAAAACGAAGACTTTTGAGTTGTCTAATACTTAGATTTTTTTTAAAAAAAATTGGATGGCCTTTATTCAATTTTGAGATATTATTTATTTTCAAACATGTAGTCCCAAGCCTGTATGAGTAAGGAAGGAGGGTTGTGTGGCAGTATAGAAAATTTTTTCTGCACCCGTACCATAAATCTTGGTATATGGAGTGGAATAGCATAACAAGATTTATGTTGTCGATGCTTAGATGATGATGTAGAGAGCGCAACTTATATTTTTTTTATTTTCCGTCGAGGTTAGTTTATGGGTGAAAGACATGAGATCCCCAAAATTTGGCATTGGAAATCAAACTTGAGACGTTGTACTGCTAAATGTATGCTGATACCGAAACAATTATTTGTAGCAAATTGTCGTAAGACCCGTAGTATTTGAGGCCCCTTTATTTGCTAGCTTCTTGAATGCCATTATAATTTCTTGTTTTTTGCATCACTCAATAAAATTCTCCAAAAATAAATGCAAAAGCTAGGACTAACCAAATTCAAGTCTTGAAAACATTCAACCGTTACCCCGTTCACCTAATTTATAAATGTGTCCTCCAATCTAGTTATCAATTAGGATCCACAATTTTAGTTTTTTAGATGAGGCATTTTATGGATCTGTTTTAGGAAAATTCACCTCTATATTCCTTTTTTTTCTTGTTGAAATTTAAAAACTATTATCAATATTTGTATCATATCATCATCAAAACCTTTTTTCAACCAATTGAGATTGGCTACACGAATCTTAATCCGATATTCTACTCTATCAATGGTCAAACTTTAATTGAAGTCATAAGTCCCCATATTTTTTCTCACTACTTCTAACACTGTCCTTTTGAATCTACCCTTTGCTTTTTTTAATCTTCCACTTGAATTCACTCACCACTCACTCCTCTAATAGGTGTTTTACTGAATCTGTATTGTACATGGTAAACCCACTTGAATGTACTTTTTCTCATCTTATCACCCAATGGAACCATATCTAAATTCTCGTTAATATATATATTTGAAATTCTATCATTTCTTGTCTTGCCACTCATCCATCTCAACATCCTCTCAACGACACTCCTAATGTGAGAAGAGCATGTATCATATATTAATTTTAATTATTTAAGAATTGGATTACACTCAAATTTTGCATGTCCACATCTCATTATAATGCGCTGATAAAAAATAAAAAATAAAAATTTTGAATAAATAAAATGGCCAACCAAAACAGCCCTAAAATTTGAATGGATGTTTGGGTAATTTTTATTCAACTATTTTTTACATTTGCTACAGTGATGCCGAGAATTATGGACAAACAACATTTGAGCTCAATTTAAGCTACAAAAATTGAAATATTAGATGTAACCTTAAAAAATGGTTACATTTTATATAACATTCGGGACATTTTATAAAATATTAGGGACATTTTATAAATTTCAAAAGATATGAGACATTTACATAAATTTTCCTTTGTTTCAATACTGTATATATTGTCCTCCTTTGGGTCGCGTCCTTGTTTATTATCTAAGTTTCATCGATATTTTCCTAAGACTTTCACAATTGGTTCGTGCTTAAATATTTACACAAGAAAAATATTTACATATGTAAACACCGTGCAGGAAAAATGGAGGCGGCTTCATATGCCTTGTATACCTCTACCCGGACCCGAATGACAAGAGGTCACGCTGGGGGAGGAGGCTTCCTGATACTGAAGAATGGACCCATGTTAAGAGGCAGCAAACTCCAGCAACGACCCTTACTATCAATACAACAACTGTGCCAAATACTCCTATATGTGCCTTCTGGAAAGTTAGAAACATCAAGCAAAGATGTAGAGAAACCTTGCCCCCTTCCATTTGGTTCAAAACACACAAAAGATTTCACAAGCCCACTATTATCTAGCCCTTCAGATATCCCAACACTACCCTTAACATCTCTCTTCATGTACAGTAGTAACTCCTTGTTAAGAACCAACATTTCCTCTGTTTTAGAAGGGCAAAACCCCAACCCCTGTTGCGCCATGGCTTCTTCATTTCCTTCTATTATTTGATCAGACTGGCGGGCTGCAATTATGCAGTAAATCTTAGCTATCCGAGAAACACCCTTGGATGGCATGTTCTTTGTTTGGAGGCAGAGGTTCAAAGATAGTTGGAAGCCTGGGGGAATGGTTATTATTGCATTGGGGCTTCCACCATCAGAATTTGATGCAAAGATCTCAGCTCCAATACAGGGCCTGCAATATGTTTCATAACAAACATTTCTTAAAAGAAAAGAAAGATTACACACAAAATAAGTCAAACTTTGAGATATGAAATTCCTAATCTATGCTATCCTGTGTATACATACATACACATAGTTGTATATGTATTATGTAAACACATAGTTGTACATGTAGATATCAGACACTCATATATGATGATGTACATTGAGTATTTACATGTTTATCTTGACAAGAAGTTAAGATTGGAGGGACATTATAGTCCAATCCACTGCCTTTCTGAGATTCAGAATATAGATGCACAGAACATATTGTACAACACACAAATAACCCGATGGGAATACAGCAAAGCGGATCAATCAACCAATGCAAATAAGTAAAGACGAAGGACACAATGATGCACAAACCTACAAGAAAACTAAAATAAATTACATGAGTTAAATTGTATACATTTTTTTATGCTCTTAAAATATACAGAGAGAGCTTCTTACCGGATTTTAAAGTTCAATGATCAAAGACTATGGTATTTGATATAAAATGATAGAGCACAGATTAACTTACTATACCTTGTTTGAAAGAAGTAAAATGGAATCTGAGAAGGCAAGAAAATCCACTTCATAATAATGTCTAACATAAGCTTTAGCCCTTCACTGTGTACTTTAAATAAATCGAATTCATCTTTTACTCCTTGAGCTTTCGCTTGCAAATTAATGACACCAGATACAGAAAACCTACAAATGTCTAGACCAGCCCTTTCTTTACATCCTTTACTTGACATTCGTACCCCTGCCTCTGTGAAACTTTCCACCTCCCCAAAAATTGTGGAGAAGTATTCGAGGTCTTTGCTAATCTTGCTGTCTTCATGCCACAAACGTTGAGCTAGATCTTGAACCAGGTCCAGAGCCCCTCTCGAGTTTCTTGAAAATTTTGAAGTTTCATAATTAGGCAACTTTGGAAAGTAAACAACAAAGGTAGCACAAAATGCTAGCAGTGAACAGCCCAAGGCAACATATGTTATGCTTCTAAAGCCTTTGTAGTTCATATCCATGAAAGACATCTTAAGAAGATCAAGCTCTTCTGCTAACCTCCTCAAACTATCTGAAGCCTGAAGAAATCGACGCTCCAAAGTGAGCATATCTTGAGCTTTCTTTTCCCATACACCTTCCAACTGGGTCACCACATTTTCAACAGTTTCATCAATGAAAATATTGGAACTCAACATCCCCATTATGTTCACTAAAATTCCAAGATATTTTGCGTGAAGACTCAAGAACCACCTTTGAAAATAAAAGGCTGACTTCAATGTAACAGCACCTGTCAATATTTCCCCTGAAGAAGAGATTGCCCTATGTGCCATGGCAATAATATCAGAGCAAGAAAACATATCAGAATTGCAGGTAGACTCTTGAGCAATGACTTCAGCGAAAGTAGTGCAGAATGTTCTATTGTCTTCAATTGTCTTCAGCCACTCAGTGTCATTCCTTGGAAAGAGCAGCAATTGGATTCCACTTTCTGCCTCTGCAAACTGTGCCAATGATTTCAGCCAAAAATGACAAGGACCTAACTGCACCCGATCAAGCAATTGCTGAAAAGTGAACACGGCCACAAACCAAGCACCCTGACAAGCAGCAAAAACACCAATTTTGTATGCTACCCATAATTCTTTGCTCATTATCATTTTCTTTGCAAATTCCAAAGTCAAGCATTCCGAGCTAATCTTGCAATTTAAATGAGATATGCCCTGTGCTCGGACTTGACCATGCCAAATAAGACATGATCGCAACAGAAAGGGGGATATTCCAGGCAAACTAATGCACGCTTTCGTTAAGCGTCCGACAAGGAGTTGCAGTGTACCAACTACTTGACAATCAAAAAAATCCACTGTATCAAGTATATCAAGACATGTGGCCAAGAACCGACTAATGCATGCCATAAGCCCAGAATCAATAGGAAATTTTTCCTTTCCATCATTGAATTCACTGAACTCATGAACGCATAAACTTCTTATTGGAATCTCCTTGCAGGTTTGAATAATCTCATCTTCAGAACCTGCAAGCTCAGGATTAACTTGCATGCCTAATAGAATTTCCATTAACCATCTGAATCTATCAATGGCCAACAGACCTACCCGAGGATACTCTTCAACAAGGAGTAAAAGGAGCTTAAGCAAGTTCTGACATTCCTGTTTCAATCCATAAAATACACCGTTCATAATAGTGGAAGAATAATGGGAGAGATCTCTAGTTGCTTTATTGGGATCAAGCCCTTTTACCAGGAAGGATATCTGATCAATAACTAACAGAGCAACACGCCACGGTAAGGGTGCTGAAGCTTTCCCATAGGGGACAAGAGCCACATTCTCTGCGATAGAATGAGGAGATAAAAGTTCTGGAGAATCACAAAAGAATGGTATCCTCATTCTTTTGAGATTACATGTTATATCAACCAAAAGGCTGAGGGCTGCATATCTCTTCGATACAATATGACAGCGAGAAGCATTTTCGACTACCAATATTAATTCCAGTATCTCGGATTGATCCATGTGACACAAAATGTAACAGCACGACTGCAAGTTTCAATGTAACCAAAGAATCCAGTCAATGCTTAAAAAAGGCATTCAAAATGCGATAAAAAGAGATGTCAGATTGGTTACCTTCTTTAATATTGTAAGTGCTTCATCGAGTAAATTATTTGTATTTTTGACAATATTTATCAGTATTTTGACTATGTTACAATTAAATGGGGTACACCAAAATGCTTTTGGGGAGAGGAAGCTAAGACATCTCAAAGCCACTGCATGAATAGAAGAGAAAGGATTCCGACCAAGGAGGGATACCAACAAATCCACCTGCATCCAACACAAGAACAAATTATAGAGACAACTAACTTGTAAAACCAATTTTCAGACTATAATCCGTTGCAAACAGCACACCTAATCCTTCTCCATAGTAACACTCTGAAAAGCATACTTATCTTGCAAATGTTTATGCATATAGGTGTGGTAGGGATGGTATGAATTTGAGGATGATCGTGCAGTACATCTCATCATGAGAACAAAAATCATTTTCTTAGTAATCAATTGGAAGCCGAATTCTTCTTGATGTAACTCTTAAGAAGAAAAGAACCAGGAACATGATTTTCAAAACATCCTACATTTCACCAAATCAGTATATATAACAACAGTTACCTGTTCATCCAGGACAAGAATTGACCTAGAAGCAAGTTTTGAGAGAGAGAATAACATCTCAGTGACAATTTCCTCATTTGGACTATCCAAAATCAACTTCTTACCAGCCTGTCAAACAACAAGGAAAGGATCGCAAAGTAAAGTTACGAACATAGTTAGAGTACTCTTCAGAGCACAATCAATAGCGCTACCGCCAGTTACGAACATTACTAGGCATAAGGGACATATGCCACCAGTTAAAAGGGCTTATTTTATACATATATTAGCCCTTTTTAATTTTGAAGTATGTTCATAGCAAAAGTAATCACTAGAATCCAAATGTTTCCAACAAACATGGTGCAATCAAATTTCAGTGCTCAAAGTCAAAAAAAAAAGGCAGCAAATTATAGAATAAAAGGGGGAAAATGTTACTAAACAACAGAACAAAAACAACTTGCATGGTCTTTTCCAAGGAAGTTCCCGTCCTAGTAAATCGATCATAAACTTGGACCAACTTGACCCAGCTAAAAATCTGCCAATCTAATTGACTACTCAAATCAACTTGGCCAAGTTTTCCATTAACAAAACCAAGTATTATGCACATATGAAAAACTCATACAAGACAATAAATTTACGGCAACTTTCACTGAAAAAATTTATTTGTTACTTTGTAAGCAAACCCCAAAATTCCCTAAATGGGGGTGTGTTAGAATTCAATTGAACCATCCGACAGAATCCTTGTTTTCCCTATTTTAAACACCAATAATGATGCCTTTCTGTTTAAGCAATTTCATGTTGGGTTCCTCAAAATCTCACCTGTAAATTTTTAGATTTAGGTTCCATTCAACCTCAGTTTTATATGAGGGGCATAACAAAGCTATAGATTTTATAGTATAACCTCCTTCAGAGCCTACAATTAGTGGACCCCATCTGAAAGGAGTTAAATATATTGTTGTTTTGTATCTTACAAAATTTAGTAATTGGATGTTGAATGTTGAGTTAACTAAAAGCTTGATCAGTACCACTATTAATGTTTACTTACAGAATTAATCTTGATTTATTTCAAATGTTAGAGAACGGTAACAAGGTAGTTTAGGGAGGACCTTTACTGCACCACTTTGTCCTCCACAACATCTTTCTCTACCGTATCAAGCTTCTTGAAGAAGAGCCTTCCCGTCCTCCTCTTGTGGAAAGATCTACACTAGATTGGGAAATTGTTCCCTTGGGGCAACAGACTAGAAAATTCATTATGCGCTTCCCTTTCCCAGCCTCCCAACCATCTGACATATTCCTGAATCACCCTTTGACTACTTAAAATCTTGAATGTATAATTCTACTTCACCAACCTCATCGTCTAGGAGCTTCCTTGCAAGCTCATCTGCCATTGGAGACTTCACACCAGCCAGGCTTCAGGCTTTGCAGTTATCATGAGTTGATAATATGGGGACTTAGCTGCGTGAAATGGGTTGGCAATATGATAAAACTACATTGCAATTGACTTCTTCACCATATCCTAGGGTTTATTCCCCCAAGACTTTTGAGTTTCGTCTGTTGATATTGGGGCATACAGGGGCCAAGTCTAGAGAGTCAAGGTCAGGTTCAGGGTCGGCTTCGGGGTCACGGTCGGGGTCGGGACAAGGTTGGGAAGTAGTAGATGGTCGACCTGCAGCAAAATGGTAGGATGAGATTGACCATCTCAGTCTACTAGAAGTTGATCCAAGTAGCCCAAGGCCACACTCTCATGCCAGGCACCACAGGCTCGAGAGGCACTATAAGTTCAGTATCACAACTTCTAGAAACTCCTGCCTGTCTAGCAAATATCTTGTCGATTTGCGCCTCTTATGAAAGTCTGCTAGACTAGCCTGCCTAGCCTACTCCATATGAGCCTCAAACTTTGTCGAGTTATCACCTACATAAAATGAATAATATCCCCTCCCTATCTCCTCAAAAATCCTCTCTTTGCGTACTTGTTTCCCTTTTGCTACCTCCATTGCCTTCCATATCTGCTCCTTAACGGCCACAGGCACCTTGCCACATGGTTGTACATCACCCTGAATTTTTGTTAGGTGATGTTTCAGGTAATTGATGGTGCCTGTCATCGCCTACCCACAAAAATTATGCTGAGCCCAACCCTTCCCCTTCCCCTTCCCCTTCTTAGTTGCAAATGATAGGCATGACATATTTCTTGGTTTAGAGATTACTTGGTCTGCTCAAGGGATCATTGGATCATTGTTACTCTATGAAAGTACGCTCGTGATCTTATCTCCCAGGCCAACTTTCACTGACTTTAATTGTAGATAACCCAACAGAACGTAATGTTTGGTTATCCGCATCTGATAGGAAGTCGCTACCCTATAGGGTGCCCTACTGTAGTTAGTTGGGGGACCGCAATGTCTCACCATTACCAAGTAAGATATCAGTTATCCAGTTCATTTTGTTGGCCAGTTCGTCCAGGTTCCTCGCTTAACCCATATGGATGTTGTCCAGAGTATCATTCCATATGTCAGATCATCACTTAGTTGTAATATTTTTTTTCTCAGCATCTTCACTTAATTGCGGTGTCTTTTTCTCAGCATCTTATGGCCTTTCGCTTATATCATATGTTGACTCAGATTGGGCTTAGGCAATTTTAGACACTCAAAAGATCAACCATAGGGTATTGTATTATCTTTGTGACTCACTTCTTAAGAAACAAGTTGTTTCCAAATTAACTGCGAAAGCTGCATAATGCAGTATGTCTTTTGTCACAGATGAGATTCTCCAGATTCAAGTGCTTCTCTTTAATTTAGGAGCTCCTTGCCCACACCTCTCCATGGGAATAATATCAATGCGATTAGAATTGTCATCAATCCAGTATATCTCATGATCGAACCAACCATATTGAGGCTGATTATCATCCCATTCAAGAATAATTTGACTGAGGCCTTCTTATTCTCCATTATATTTCCTGCGATGTTCAACTAGGTGACCTGTTTACCAAATCTCACACTAAATGTTAACATGATAATCAAGTGAGCAAACTGTAACTCATTTCTACTGATGCGCACATTTGAGAGGGTTGTTAAGATATATAATACTCTTGCATTTTAGTCTATGCAGTTTGTTAATTAGTTTGAAGGTACTTTTGTCATACTTTTCTACATGAATATTCATATACTTTGTATGCCCAGCCAAATGTTAACATGATAATCAAGTGAGCAAACTGTAACTCATTTCTACTGATGCGCACATTTGAGAGGGTTGTTAAGATATATAATACTCTTGCATTTTAGTCTATGCAGTTTGTTAATTAGTTTGAAGGTACTTTTGTCATACTTTTCTACATGAATATTCATATACTTTGTATGCCCAGCCATCTATAATGGGATTAATCCCTATTTCTAGTTAATAAGACTTTCATTCAAGATTCTCTAATTCTAAAACACGATGTTGATAGCATCATGGTGCAAGTGTGCATGTATTTGTATAGAGAAATAGGTCTAGAAGTTTGGGTTTGGAACCCCAACAAAACCGTGTATAAATAAGTAGAAACATAAATTAATAGATTACACTTCAAATAAATTACACTTCTCTTGTAATGCAGTTAAAAATTGCTAGTATTTGCTGGTAATTAAATACCATTTGCAAGCAATGTAGCAAACAGAAGGCTCAATACACTTGAGGGAAACTATACTTAGGTGGGCTGGCCATGTACAAAGAACCTTCGATACAGCACATGTTAGGAAGTGTGATTTTGTTTTAAGTGGCAGGATCTAAAAGAACAAGAGGAAGGCCCAAAAAGACATGGATGGAAGTAGTAAGAAGACATATAAGGACTTATGACCTTACTGAGGGTATGGTCCTCGAAAGAACAGAATAGTGAAACATAATTCGTGTAGCCGGCCCCAATTAGTTGGGATAAGACTCTAATGATGACAATGATGATGATGATGATGATGCAAGCAATAAAGCAAGCATTCACATGGGATTCCATCCCTCTTAGATGTGTTTAGAATAGCATCCAGAGTTTCAAAGGCATAATACCTCATAAGCACCTCTTGCAATTGAAGATGAGCATCCCATGCTTGCAAAAATACGCACAGACGCTATTTTCACATCATGAGGTCTTCTTGTTGAGGCCACTATATCCACAAGTAACTTCAAAATAACATGTGCAAAGTCACCTGATAATTCACAAAAGCAACCAGCAGCAAATAATGATGCCTTAACCTGCACATGTTCAAAAAAAGAAAATAAAAAACTCATGAATAAGGAATCAAACATCATGCATTCATTGTTAGTTTTATGAAATGTTGATTTTGACCCCCAATGTTTCTATATTTACCCGGGACACAAACGGAGAAGCTGAATATGAGTAGTTTCTTACCATTCAGCCCCTATTGAACTCATGGAAGAACAATTTTATGGCATTTCAATCCTCTAAGATTCCTTCACCACTGGAAGACGACACAGTGGTTCAATACCCAACACTAGAAACAAACTTGAATTTCCAAAGAAATACAAGAGCTACCAAAGAGATGACACAACAATCAACGTATGACTAATTATGAGTCAATGGAGAAAACAATTTTAAAAAACAAGAATATGAAAGAACAAACTGCAATGTTCAGCACATTCAATGCTGTAGAAAGCCCATTGAAGAGACATACAGCATTTGGCTATCTGGAGTTTTATGGCTAGTTAAACCTGAGAAACACTTCCAAACTGCTCCTACATATGCACTAGAACATAGGGCAGTTCAGGTTGTACTGCTATAGGCAACCACATGAGCTAGTTTCCAGTTAGTATACTGTAGGAGATAACAAACATAAAAGGATATCCTTCTCCTCTCCCCATCTATGTTTGTCTATAGTACCTACTGTAATGCTCATCATGAAGTGCAAAGCAACCAAATTTGAAGGCGGAAATTTCTCATAATAAAAAGTCAAATTTGGATCCATTATATTATTACAGCGTACTATTAGGAAATATACTCTGGTATATTCATCTAATAAATGACAACTCCAACATAATTGATGTAAGGTAAAGCTGAAAATGACTTCTTTCCAAGACTTGATCTAGGGCCAGTCCAATCCCTTCTTAGTGGTTCTAAGGTCAGCCCTATAGTTACCCGAATCGCCTATGAGGGTAGCGATTCCGTTTTAGAATCTCGATTGGCATTTCCCCGTGCGAAAGTCAATTCTAAAAGAAATGAATCACGTTTCCAAATTGCCAGAATCAAGATTCCATATCGAGGACTTTGTGATTCTTAGCTACACAAGAATGCGATTCCGCTTGTGAGAAACGTTGATTCCAAAATTTTTGGAATTCCGAATCCATGTTGTTTGGAGTCAAGTTTCTATATCGCAGACATCGTGGTTCCTTGCTACACAACAATGTGATTCTACTTATGCTAAGGGGCCGTTTGGATAGCTGGAAATATATATTATTGGCGTAATACATTACCTGTAAATGGATTGTTATTGTTTGGGTAGTATTTAGATGCAGCCTGGTACATTGTTATTGTTTGGTTAAGTCTGGAAGAAACATAGGAAATGCATTACCAACATTTCACCAGCATGTGCCTATAAACTATCATTTCTTTCTTTTTTGTCACAAAATTCGACTAAAATGCAGAATTATCATTTCCTTCTTTTTTGTCACAAAATTCCACTAAAATACTAAATTAAAATCATCATCACACCATTCCAAAAAGATTTCTAATAATAACATTATCACCATTCCAAAAAGATTTTCTAATAATAACTTGTACCATTTTACAGTCATGACACTATTTCCTACTTATTTTAAGTGCCTTTGGCACTTATATGCAATCACATGTTTTCTGTCATGACATTGGTTTCAACATGATAAGTCATAGGAACAATATGATTGGAATAACATGATTTTATTATGATAAGCCTTATTTTTATTTATTTTGTATAGAAGTATTTCAAATATCTCTCTATATAATTTAAAATAAACAATAAATTTATGATACTAAATTCAAAATCTGTAGGACACGAGTTAAAAAATGGGAAGAAGTTTGATGAGTAAACTAAAAGGTTCGGTAATTGTTGTATAAAATTTTGAGGTATTGGAGGAGACTAAAGAGGTATGTTATTTCAATTGAGATTTCAGTAATCTCTTATGAGGATTATGTTGTGTGAAATTTTTATTATGATTGTGTTGTGTAACTTATCATTGATTACTGATTTTTATTTTTATTATTTTTGTTTTTATATGACACTGATCCCTTCAGTTGAGGGGACCAGCTTAAAAAGGGAGGAATCCATTATGTTGTGTGAAATTTTTTATTATGATTGTGTTGTGTAATTTATCATTGATTACTGATTTTTATTTTTATTATTTTTGTTTTAATATGACAACCGATGCCTTCAGATAAGGGGACGAGCTTAAAAAAGGAGGGATCCCCCTTTCAGATAAAGGGGCGAGCTTAAAAAGGGAGGAATCACCTAGTTATTATGAAGAGAGTGCTTAGAAGATTTTTGTAATGAGAGATACGTCAGGCAAAAACACGCGCGAAAGATTTCCCAACATTACCCGCCACTCTCGTAATAGATTTTTCACCTATCACCGCAGGTAACGGATTTCCTGATTTTTGGGGAAATATCGCATAATCTCTTTCCATTTCCTTACTATTAAGTGTACCCAAACGGCCCTTAAATGTTGATTCAAAGTATTAAGGAATTGTGAATCCATGTTGTCAGGAAGCAATGTGAGCATAGGAAGAGCCTTCGATGTGTGCTCAATCATGAGTGAGCGCGACATGTATGAGAGTGTGAGAGAATTTGAAGTTGTTGCACACAACAAAAAAATCAAAATTTAAAATATGTGTAATATGTGAGCATAGAGAGAGCAGAAACCCTTCAATGTGTGCTCAATCATGAGTGAGCGCGACATGTATGAGAACGTGAGAGAATTTGAAGTTGTTGCACACGACAATAAAATCAAAATTTTAAATATAAGTAATATGTCAAATTTTTTATTTTTTTATGTACTAATTTCCATCCTTCATTCCATGTTACTTTTTAAGAACTCTTACCAAGAATAAATAATACTAAAAAAATATTACTTCAAATTTAATAATATTTGGTAAATGGTGTGGGTACTAAACTACTAATGTAATAATGTTTAATATATGATCGGCACCGTCGTTTCAGAGGATAAAAATGCTTTTCTTTAAGTAAAAAAAGAAGATAATAAGGATATGAGCGAAGTGCCATGTGTAGTGTTTTAGGTTAAATTAATCATTAAATATCAGAGAAATTGACTAAAAAATGAATAACTCAATTTTCAAAAGTCAAAAGACTCAAACTACATTTAACAAAGAAGAATTACGGTCATATGCTTATTTTATAATTAAGGAAAGGAGATAAAGGGCGCTTGCCCTTGTTCTCACTCCTTGTATGTTGTAGACTAGCTCCAGAACTTGTAGGCATAATAGGGTTATCGGTAGACCGAGTCCATTGCATGGGATTGTCCACAAAGATATCATAAAGGTTGACATTAGTACTTGGAGTCTTGAACTGAGTATATACAAACCAAAATTCGATCTCGTAGTAATGGGTAAATTTATATATTTTCTAAATACTTTTCTCATATACCGGAGGGAATTGGTTCGCAATTCTAGTAAGAGAAGAATCTCGATTCAAATATGGGGAGAATCATGATTCCAGAATGGTGAGAATGTTAATTCCAAGTTGATGGAGACAACGATTCTAGAATTTTAGGAATCACGATTCCTTAGTTTTAAGAATCACGATTCCATATTTATTGGAATCACGATTTCAGCAACCACCAAAACAAGTGGGATCATGTGTGATTCCATATAGGTATGAAACGCGATTCGAACATGAAGGGACATCGATTCTTGCAAATAGGAAACACGATTCCTAATTTTTTGAATCG